AATGTCAAAGACAGAATTTTTTTTTTTGAGACATAGTTTCACTCTGTCACCCTGGGTGGAATACCATGGCATCATAGCTCATAGCAACCTCAAACTCCTGGTCTCTAGCAATTCACTTGCCTCAGCCTCCCAAGTAGGGGGGCCATCACAATGCCTGGCTATTTTTAGAGACAGGGTCTGGCTCTTGCTCAGGCTGGTCTTGAACTCGTGAGCTCAAGCAATCTACCCACCTCGGTCTCCCAAAGTGCTAGGATTACAGGCATGAGCCACTGTGCCCAGCCCTTTTTAATTTTTAAAAATCAATCAAGGTACCCAAAGATCAGCTTTATGATGACAAAAAAAAAAAAAAAAGAGTTGGCTCGGGAACAGTACCCAGAACCAAATATATCAAGATAAACTTGGCTAGGTTACAAGAAAGTCCTCTACTAGTAAAGATTATATCCTAACTCCAAGCCAAAAAAAACTGAAACAAATACAAAGGTTGCAAAGCTTCCAATACCCCCTTAACCAGGAAACTTCAACTTTTTTTTTCAAAGTCTTGTTTTTAACTTTATTCAAATTAATATGAGGGTACAATATTTAGGTTACATTGTTCTCACTTCCAGGGTAAAGTTCCATTTGTGGAAGAGCCCCTCACCGGAAAGTTCAACTTTGAATTCAAGTAACACTGGCAGGTCAAATCTTTCTATACTAATGAGGCCTCCCCTGGAGGGGAATGTTCACAAATAAAGGAGCTGTAGGAGTCTTTAGCCAGGGCTCTGCCACTGCCACAGCCCCAGCCTGTGAGAACCCTTTCAGAGGGCCTCAATTTCAGCAAACAATGCCAGGGACTTACAGAACAGCCCAAACCAACAGCTATACAATGTATCCAGCTACAGGAACCACCATCCTGCCCAATGCCAGTACAGGGTGACTGCAAGCAATCAGGCTAAGACAAGTGCCTAATGCTTGAAAGGCACAAAATGATCACTCCCCACTAATGAATCCAGCAGAGAAAAGGCCTGGGACTAACAGGAGATGGGAAAGAGCTCATCAGAGTGTCCCAGATGGGAGAAAATAGAAATTCCTGAGGACAGGGCCAGGGACTGCCCTTTTGAAATAGGGGTAAGAGTGTACTCAGCTCTTCTGCTACCCAGGACTCCCACCAGACTCAGGCCTAATCCCTGTGGGGCAGCCTACTTACTCAGCCAGTCCTTAGTCAAGATGACACTTGGGTTCCTATGAAGCTAATCAATCTTGTATTCCTCTTCTAGTGAACACAGACGAGTGGAAGGATTTCACTACCAAACCCAATCCTAAATAAACTCCACCAGTCCATCCTCACCTCCCTATTGTCTACTAAACATTAACGTACCCCAGCCTCCACAGCCTCCACACATGCCACCACCCCCACTTGCCAGCTTGATCTCCTTTTCCTATACTCTGCCAGGCTGAACAGCCAGTGGGCTGGTATCTGAACACACCTCATGCTCTCTCATCCCCCCCTTCATCCACCTCTACATGTAAAATCCATCCACTGTGGAACAAAGGCATTCCATGGAATGTTTGATTCCCCTACCCCACCTCTGAGATTACTGTGGGAATTCCAGGGACATTAAAGCCTAGAAAATGCTGAATACTTTATCCCCTCCTCTGAGGTGTGCAGTATACATCAGCACATCAAAGGCCCTGAAAAGTCCTGCAGTTAAGAAACAGTCTAATGGACAAAGGACTTGGATAGACATTTCTCCAAAGAAAATGGCCAAAAAGCACATGAAAAGATGCTCAGCATCACTAATCATCACATAATGCAAATCAAATCTACTGCAGGATTCATCACGAGGGCCAGGATCAACAAAACAGAAAACAAGAACTGTTGGTGCGGATGTGAAAAAACTAGAATCCTTGTGCACTATTGGTGGGAATATAAAATAGTACAGGTGCTATGGAAAGCAGTTTGGAGGAGGTTCCTCAAAAAATTAAAAATAGAATTACCATATGATCCAGCAACCTCACTTCTAGGTATATATCCAAAAGAACTGAAAGCAGCATCAAGAAGAGATATTTGTAAACCCATATTCATTACAGCATCATTCACAATACCCAAGAGGTGGAAGCAACCTTACGTGTCCACTGGCACATATATGAATGGATGAAGAAAGTGTGGTGTCTACAGACAATGTGATGTTATTCAGCCTTATCAAAGAAAGAAAACCTGTCAGATGCTACAACATGGATGACCCTTGAGGACCTTAAGCTAAGCAAAAGAAGTCAGTAACAAAAAGACACATAATGCATGATTCCAGTTACATGAGTTACCTCAAAGAGTCAAACTGTTAGAAACAGAACGTAGAATGGTTGTTGCCAGAGACAGAGGGGAAGAGAGAAACCAGGATGAGCTGTTTGATGGGTGTAGAGTTTGGGTTTTGCAAGATGAAAAAGTTCTAGAGACCTGTAGCATAGTTAACATGGCAATACTGTACATTTACAAATGGCTAAGATGGTAGACTTCATGATATATGTTTGTTACCACAGTAAAAAATATAACTGTTAAGCTTAAGCTCACTATTTTCCTAACCAATGAATACTTTTTTTTTTTTTTTTTGCAGTTTTTGGCCAGGGCTGGGTTTGAACCCGCCACCCTCAGCATCTGGGGCCAATGCCCTACTCCTTGAGCCACAGGCACCGCCACCAATGAATACGCTTTTTGCAGAGTGTCTTACAAGATTCAGTAGGAATGCTGTAGAACATGATTTGGAGAATCCTGTTCTAAAACATCAAAGTATCCTAAACTTCATACTGTTGCCGCAAATCATCCATTCCCTTTGTTTATTCATTCCAGCCCTTCCTTTGGTCCTGAGGCCAGGATATCCTAGCTTTCCAGGCAGGGGTCCAACCTTGAGGCTTTCCCTAGGTTAACACAGGCCTGAAGTTGCCACAACCATGTAGACTAGGACCTTTGAGAGAGGGCAGAAAGGAAGTCAATCATAGTGGACATCTTTTGGGATCTATGTTGAGTTTACAGCAATACCCTTATCTGCCACCCTCTCTGTCGTGGTGGACCCCCATAACTCATGTCTGTACCACAAGACATCACATATACACGCACACAGTAACCAGGACCAAGAAGGACCAAGCTGTTACCTAGTCACCCAAGACTCTGGATTTGGGGTTAAGGGTCTAGCTCAAGCTGGTATCTTGAAAGTAAGATATAAAGAGACATAAATGTAGGAGCTGCCAGGTTTACACTACCCTATCCTGTTGGCTGAGAAAGAGAGCAGGTTTCAGCAAGAGCTGAAAACCTTCTCACCCCAGTCCTTCCTGAGGGCCAGCTGCATTTCTGTCCACAGCTGCATTCTGCCTAAGGTGCTGACACGCAAAACTTGAAGGTACCGTTCACAACCTAGGGTTGTGCCAATGCAAGTGGCCCTTAAATTCTTCTAGAACATTTTTATTGCTTGAGGTACCTCAAAGCAGTTCCTGTTACCTCAACTAAAGAATCCTAGGGGCTCAGCGCCTGTGGCTCAAGAGGCTAAGGTGCCAGCCACATACATCTAAGGTGGCGGGTTCGAATCCCCAGCCCAGGCCCACCAAACAACAATGATGGCTGAAACCAAAAAACAGCCGGGCGTTGTGGCCGGCGCCTGTAGTCCCAGCTACTTGGGAGGTGGAGACAGGAGACTCGCTTGAGCCCAGGAGTTGGAGGTTGCTGTGAGCTGTGATGCCATGGCACTCTACCCAGGGGGACAGCTTGAGGCTCCGTCTCAAAAAAAAAAAAAAAAAGAATCCTAGGGAAAAAAAAATTAAGTCAAGAATCCTAGAACACCAGCCTCATTTCCCATTGTTGCTTTTTACTTCCCTGGGTTCCCGCCAGGGAAACTTACTCCATTGTTTCTGAAAGTGCTCAAAGTTTTGCTGCTTCTTTGCCTTTTCTCCTAAAAATTCTCCTCCTAGAACTCCTTCCTTTCTCCTCTACCCCCTGCCTCAATTTACCCAAACTTCACCCTCCTTCAAGGTTCAGTTCAAATGCCTCTCCTGTCCCGTGAAGCCGTCAGTCATCCCCTCACCCTCAAACTTCCACAGGCCTCTGTCCAGATTTAGATAGCACTTGCCGCATTCAACCTTGTAATATAGACACATATATAGAAAGCTTTACTCCTAACTAAACTATATGGTTTCTTGAGACCTGGAATAAATCTTATCTTTGCATCATGTCCAACACTTAAAGTAGGGACTATCTTGCATGTAAGGAAAGGCTAGGAAAAAAATTATGTAGAGATGAGACTATATTGTTTTGTCTCTTGGTAAACCATAACCACAGCGATGGCAGATGTTCAACTTTAAATTCATCTTTGTAACCCTATAGTACCGGGACTATGACGTAAACACTCAAACACTTGCTGACTCAACAACCTCAGAGTGGATCCTAAAATCCTTTCATCCTCCTGCCTATCAGACCTAGTGTCTGCCCCTCTACACCCCACTCTCCTCTACTCTGATAACAAGTGTTCTCACAGGGAAAGGGCACTTGCTGGGTTGCCTCCATCAAATGTGATGGTTGGGGCAGGGCTATTCGGTATCACCCCTAAGACCTGCTGAGGACGAGAGATCCATGACGTCTTCTTGGCAACTCTTCTGGCCATACCAGAGGAATGGGGCAGTCTGGAGGGGCAGAGAGGAAGTAGGGCAGACGATTCTCATAGAGACAAGATGTGGTAGAGGAGACGGGGTGGAGTATGTCAGCAACAGAAAGGTCTACAACTTCTGCCCCTTAACTTACCCACTAATTCTTTCCCAATTTATTAAAAGCTGGCTAAATTCACCGGAAACAAGGAAGCCAGAGCCAAATCTTAAGCTTTTAGGGAGACTACTAGACACAGGTCCTGGGTCAAGCCCTGGAAGATGTCCTTGGTTGTGGGTTGACAAATAGAATCCTACAGACACACTGGGGCTGGGGAGGAAAGACCGAAGAGCACAGAGACGCTGCTGCATTCCGTCACCCGCCCACGTCCGCTCAGTACCTGGTGAGCATCTCCTGATGGGATGATATAGGCCTGGATCGGTTCTGCCACGTATTCAGAGTTCCTCATGGCTTGTCTCAGCTGCCGAAGCAGCTCTGAAGTCACCTTTGGAGCCATTTTGCTGTCTGCAACAAGAGAAGAGTTTGTTCCCAAACCAGCCTACACCCTGCAATTCAATGACCAGTTCAAAGTGTCTTCCGTAATTCTGTCCCATCCCCAATTGCATCTTCAAACTGAATACCCCAAAGTTGCCAGAAACACTAATGTTCACAGTTCTTAAATACTTCTGCCAAGTAACTACTGCAGCAAGAAAACTTTAGCTGCTAATCATTTCCAAATTGACTGGTTACCTTTCACTTACAAGACTTTATTCAAATACAAAACAGAAATATAAAAAGCATTAAAAAGAACTGTTAGGCACAATAAATGTGGTCCTACTAAAAATTCTTAAAACTTACAAATTTGTAAATAGTGAAAGTCAAAACAGCATGACCTCCTGGTGAGTATAAGAGACTCTGTTTCTATGTGATGAAGGAACAAATGACACAAGGTGATGTCACCACTTTAGTTAGTTCTTCCAAAGGATTTTTTCTCAGTAAATACTGATATCAGTTAATGTTCTGATAAACGTCACAGCTCTACACCCATGACTATATAACAAAATGACATCACAAGAAGCCAACTATAGAACAGTGGTCCTGCATATTTTACTACTATTAGAATTCAATGTGAAATGAGGAGCTTTTCCAACCTTTTTTTTTTTTTTTTGAGAGAGAGAGAGAGAGAGAGAGTGTCTCACTCTGTTGCCCCAGGCAAGAGTATCACTGGAGGTCAGTCTAGCTCACAGCAACCTCAAACACCCAGGCTCAAGTGATCCCTCTGCCTCAACCTCCTGAGTACCTGAGACCACAGGCACCTGCCACAATGTCCAGCTAGTTTTTCTGTTTTCAATAGAGACAGGGATCTCATTCTTGCTGAGACTGGTATTAAACTCCTGAGCTCAAGCAGTCCACGCCCCGTCGGCCTCCCAGAGTGCAAGGATTAAAGTCTGAGCTATCATGCCCACCCCAATTCATTCTTAATAGATTCTTTTTGTTATTGTTGGGTTTTTTTGTTTTTTGAGAGAATTTCATTATGTCACCCTCGGTAGAGTGCTATGGCATCACAGCTCACAGCAACCTCAAATTCTTGGGCTCAAGTGATTCTCTTGCCTCAGCCTCCCAAGTACCTGGAACTACAGGTGCCTGCCACAATGCCCAGCTATTTTTTGTTATAGTTGTCGTTTAGCTGGCTGGCCCAGTCTGGATTCAAACCCACCACCCTTGGTGTATGTGGCTGGCACCGTAACCACTGTACTACAGGCACTGAGCCAACAGACTTTGTTTTTAAAGCAGGTATAGATTCATAATGAAAGTGAGCACAAAGTTCCCACAAAGCTCTGGCCCCAACATACACACAGCCTCTTCCACTGTTAATATACCCTACCAGAGAGGTCCATTTATCATAACATTTAAACCTATATTAACACATCCTTATCATCCATAGTACACTCTTGGGTTCACTCTTGGTATCGTACATCCTAGGTGTTTTGAGTGATGCATAATGACATATATCCACAATTACAGTATCATATGTTGCATTTTCACTACCCCAAAAAACCTCTATGTGCAGCCTATTCATTCCTCCTCCTCCCTCTACCCCCTCACAGCAACTGATCTTTTTTACTATCTCTATAGTTTTCCCTCTCTAGAATGTCATACAGTAAGCATCATAAAATAAATAGCCTTCTCAGATTGGCTTCTTTCCCTTGGTAACATGCACATAAAGCTCCCCCATGTCTTTTCATAGCTTGATAGCTCATTTTGTTAGCCTGAATAATATTTTTGGTTCTTTGTTCTTTAACATATTCAATTGCTTCTTCCTTTTCATCACCAGTAGCACCATGGGCTTCTATTCCTCAGTTGCTATGATTATCTCCAATAGAGACCACACTGAGATTTGAGACTCCTTGAAAAAATGGCTCCATTCATCATCCACAGCCAGGGCAACTTTAACAGCAAGCCTCAGGGCTCCACCTCAGGAGTTCTGGAAGGACTGAAGTTGTCAAATGGACAGTCACTGAAAACCATCCTCCTCCCGATTCAAACGTATCCACATGCTTTGCATTACCGCCGCTGCTGAATACTGCTCAGAGAGGCAATCTGCCCTGTTTGGGGGTTTTTTTGTTTGTTTTTGTTTTTTAAGAGAGATGAGGTCAAAGGGATCACTTCTATGGTTTATCTTACAAGGGTACAAGTGAATCTTTCTAAAAGTAGAATATGATTGTCTTAACACAATAACTAAGAAAATGACATGAAGGCTATATTAACTGGTTTGATGAAAATAGTTCAAATTGTATATGAAAACACCACACTGTACCCCAGAATTGCATTAATGTACACAGTTATCATTTAATAAAAAAAAAATAAATAAATAAATAAATAAAATAGATGCTAAATGAGAAAAAAAAGAGAGATGAGGTCTTGCTACATTGCCCAGGCTAGGCCAAAACTAGGCTCAAACGAACCTCCCACCTTGGCCTCCCAAGTACCTGGGATTACAGACATACACCACTGCACCCAGCTATCCTTTCCTTATGTCTAAATCTACTAACTCTGTAAGTTCTCAACTAACAGAGAAAGAGAGATCAAAAGTATTTGGTGCAATCTAAGTTCATATGTCAACACGTCCATTGGGTTCAAAAATGAAGCCTACTGTGACCTCACAAGCTTGCCAGCATCTGGAAATTTTACCCTGATATCGTTCACAAGCTTCAGAATAGATTTATCAGATTTTCAAACCACATTTCTAAGCAAGTTATTATTCTTAAAAAGAGTCAAGCAAAAAAATGAAGACTTCTTTAGGAGCGGCACTTCAACCTTGGCTGCACATTAGAACTACCTGGGGAACTTCTGATTAAATTGGTTTGGCATGCAGCCTAGGCCTCTGGAATTTTAAAAAGCAAAATATGATACAATCCAATATACTTTCTTTCAAGACCATTAATTTCCTCATAGACTCTGGCTTCTATTCAGGCACATTCTGACTTAAGGATTTTAATGGCACTGACTAGGGGTCTAACACTGATTCAAGTATCAGCATCGTCAGTCCCTAACTTCATCAATAAAGTCAGCAGAACCAATGGCAAGCACAAAATCTCCAGTTACGAAGTAAAAACCGACAAAGGCAACATGGGTCTGATGGAAGACATTCTCTGCTTCCTGGTCACCAGAGCTTACCTCCTCACCACCACATCCTGACCGGCGACACCACCGCCAGCCTCTTCATCACATTCCTCCTCCGACCTCAGAATCATCAGGATCATCAGCATCATCAACCTCAGTCTACTAGCGTGGCATTTTCACACTTCCCTCCACAATGCCACCTGCCCCCACTACCCCGACCCCACACCCTCCCTTCCTTCTCATCCTCACGTCCTTCACAGTGGGTGTCCTCGGGTAATGGCTGAGGCAATGGGCTGCAGTAACAGAGCCAGCTACCACCAAGGTAAATACAATGAGTGATGGCAGCCAAGGTAGCCACAGCCACAAGGACAACTACAGACCTTTAATACGAGGAAATGAGTGAGTGGCTGAAGCCGAGGAGAGGACAAAAATGGCAAAATTATCAGTCACAGCTACTGAGGCGGCAGCAGCTGAAAAGGCAGCCAAGATGGAGGAAGCAAAGTCCTGGCTGACGACCCCTGTGGGGTAATGTTCATGAGGATTTAAATAAGGGACTATATAGAGAGCAGTTAGAAATAGTGCCTGGCACACATGTTATGCAAGTGCACCCTGTTACTGGAGTGAGATACACAATTAACTAACCACAAATGCCATGTGATAGACAATGTTAACAGGTCTGTATACCACCTCTCCATAAGGTCGGGACCATGTCACCTCTGTATCCATGTATCCAGTATTGCACCTAACACATACACACGCTCACCCAGAAATGGCTATATGAATGTCACAACATGTGTGTCGTGTGTGATAGTTTAAGACCCAACAGAATAATAAACAGTCATGAATCTTTAATCTTAAGCCATGGATCTTAGAAGATGCTGTACATAGTATTATAGCATCTGCTCTTTCCACATCCTGTCATTTTTCAGAAATGTTAGGAACAGCCAAGAGCTAGGCAGAGTGTACAGGAAAGTGGGAAGCCAAGAGCAACAAGCCTAGACCATGAAGAAACATTAGCCTATACACTGCCAGATACTTTTAAGTTATGCCTTAAAGAGAATGACTCATTTAAGTCTCTTGCATATGTGGGTCTGCTTTTAGAAATAAGTTCCCAAATCTTCAGCCTTTATCCAAACAAGACTTTTCACTGATTTTATAGTAAAAGCACACCATCCTTACCTCATCGGGTGGCTAGGCAAATTAAGCATGATAGCAAGTGGGAAATCACCAGGCACAGCACCCACTATATCATAGGAACTCAAAAAATATTTGAAGCTGGAGGGGAAACACCAGCTGGAATCCTACACATCTTGTTATAAGAAGAGAAGAGGCTGGTTTACTCCGACTTCAATACCTTAACACATGCACAGATGCTCTTCTCGCATCGACAGTTTTAAAGTACTGGTTTTGTTTCTCTATTGCACAGCTGAGGGAAGGCCAGGGCTTTACATACACAAGGGGCTAATTCTCACCATAATCCTCCCTCCAAGGGAGGTTTCACTACTCCCATTTTACCCATAAAAGAATAGGAGTTAAAAGGAGTTAAGTACTTACCCAAGCCAGTGGAATCATCAGGAACCAGGACTTGAGATCTAACTAATTCTCAAGTCAGACAACTAACTAGTTCTGAGAAGAAAGAATCGTCCAGAAATTTTTCCCAAAAGACATTCCTAAGTACACAATTTATAAATCACAAAATACATATATTATCAACTTTTCTCACTTTATAATCTTATGATGGAAGTGGAAAGCTAATTTCTAAGGCAAACAATAAAGGGCATTAGAGATAGAGAACAAGTTTGGAAAAACTAGAATACGATAATTTCAGTAATAACCTATCGCTACCACCTCCACAAGAATGGGAAATGCACAAAATGGATCATTCTCTTACTATCTAAAAAAGTGGTAAATATATAGAAACATTAACCAACCATCCAGGAGGCAAAAAGCAAAATGGTTTTTAATTTCCAGATACTCACTATCAGCCGTGATCTATTTACTAATTCCCAATTGGGGTTTGGGGTGGGAAGGTCTAAAAATCCTTTTGAGATGTCCAATCTAATTTATAGATAAAATTCTTACCTGTTTCCACACCTGTGTCTCCTGAGTATGTCACCTCGTGAGGTTCAATTATTCTTAAATTTCTCAGCTGAAAATCCTGGTGACTGGTCCTTAGGAAGAGAAAGAACAGGATGTTGCAGACTTTGACCACAGTAACGTGGCAAGGCTACGTCAGAGAGGACACCAACTTAAGTTAGCAGTTTTCTTCCGTGAGTCAAAAGAACTCTCACCCCAACATGGCAAGGCTAATTCAGAGAAGCCATCAACTTGACTTAGCAGTTTTCTCATGAGTCAAAGGAACTCTCACCCCAATTATCAGTGGCAGAATAAATAAAAGTTTCAGATAAAACATGCAGGTGTTAAAAAAAAAAAAAAAAAACATCATCACGGCAGGTAAATCTTGTTAGTTTTACCATCTAGTTCATGAATTCTCTTCAGCTATATCAAATCTCCTGTTTAACTTGACTAAGATGATTGCATTTCAAATCACTGTATTTTTCACTTGAATAAGTTCTACTTGGTTCTTTTTCACATCTGCCTGTTCCTTCTGTATGGTGTTCTATTCTTTCACTTTGGTTTCTATTTCTTCTCTTATTGCCTTAATCATTTTAGGCCCTTATTTTATAATTTCTTTCAGAATTTCCATTAGAAAGTCTTAGGACAGTAATCTTCATGTTTGCTGGGTCTGCCGCCTCCCTCTCTTGGTGTCTCATTCTGTGTGTAATTTATAATCTTTTATTAAGAGCTTATCTGCAGCAGAGACAATTTACCTGCAAAAATGAGATGTGTCCTGATTTGTACAACATTAATATTGCTGTTTGCTTCTAAGATTAATTTTCACATTAATTTCTTAGCTAGAAGAATTGCACACAAGTTTCCAGTTTCCATATGGGGATAGTCCACTGCCCTGGACCCCACATAAGGCCTGTATCTGCATCTGACTATGTTCCGAGGCTTAGGTTACCAGTGTACTGTTCAGGCTTTAAATTGCCTCTAAATTTCTGGCACTTGAGAATTTCTCTTTCTTTCAAGTTCATTCAGTCAACAAATATTTAATGAGAATCTTCCATAATCCATGCGTTATTCTAGAGAAAACAGTGAACAAAAAGACATTTCCTGACTGCAAGAAGTTTACATGGCACAGGGCAGGGGGGTGGGAAAGAAGATAGGGAAGAGGAAGCAACAGACACAAAATAAGTAAACAACATGTCAGGTAATAAGTACCTGTTCTATGGAAAAAGTGCATGTTCCAGGGCAAGAGAGCATCAGGGAGGTGAAGGGGAAGGGTTATTTCAAATGGGGTAGCCAGAAAAGGCCTCTCTGATTACACACTGGATTATAGCAGAGACCTAAAAAAAGTAAGGAGGCAAGCCATGTGAATGGCTAGGGCAAGAACTTTCCAGAAAAGGTTACCAAGTGCAAGTATATGCCTCGTATACCTGCCAAAAAAGCAAGAAGGCCAGTGCCGTGTGTGTGAGGGTCAGAGAATGGCGAGGTGAGTGTCAGGAGACAAGGTCAGGGAGGCACCAGGGAGCTTTACTATAGGCTTGGTGACTAAACTTGAAAAAAAGAAAAATCCTCAGGTGCCAGAAATCTAGAGGCAGTTTAAAGCTTAAACAGTACACTGGTAATTTAATTTCAGCTATGAAATTAAAGGTAATTAAGTTAGAACTTAACCACATTTTTATGTGTTAAGATGAAGAGAGGTCCACATTAGCTCAGTCCACCACAGGGCCAGAAACACCAGACTGGCCATTTTCACCAGTCACTCGCAGCCTGCTCTCAGATAACTGCTACTTTAGTTTTAATGAATGGAATAAGATGTTCTTAACTGGAAAAACATATTCTTTCATTAAAAAGTGGAAACTCTAATATCGCCTATAAATGTAAAAATCCTCAACAAAATACTAGCAAATTGAACCCAGCAACAATGCAAAAAGGATCACATGCCATCACCAAGTGAGATTTACCCCAAGAATACAAGGTTGGTTCAACATATGAACAATCAATTAATGTAATATCAATAAAATAAAGAACAGAACCTATATGATCATCTCAAAAGGTGAAAGGAAAAAAGGATTTGACAAAATCCAGTGCCCCTACATGATAAAAGTACTAAGCAAACTAGAAGAGAAATTCCTCAACCCAACAAAGGTATTACAAAATGCACAGCTAACATCATTGTTAATGTTGAGAAACTAAATGCTTTCCCTTATCACAGGAAAGTCTACTCTTGCTATTCCTATTCACATAGTACCAGAGGTTCTATCTAGGGAAGTAAGAAAATGAAAGAAAAGGTATCGGATTAGAAAAGTAAAACTATCTATTTAAAATGGAAATTATCTTGAATACAGATAATCCTGAAGAATCCACACACACAAAAAAGAAAAAACAGAACTCATAAATGAGTCCATGAATATAGGACATAAAATCAACATAACTTTGTGTATTTTATTTTTATACCCCTGCAATGAACAATCCAAAAATGAAATCAAGAAAAGTTCTTTTACAATCGCATCAAAAACAATTAGAAATAAATAAATGTAACAAAAGAAGTGCAAAATGTATACTATGAACTAAGAAAGATTGCTGAAAATAACTAAAGAACACCTAAATAAATGAAATATATTCCAGGTTCACGGGAAGATTTAATATTAGTAAGATGGCACTTTCTCAAATTGAAAAAGAACATATTCCCTACCAAAATTCCATCTGGTTTCTATGCAGAAACTGACACAGACATCCTAAAATTCACAGGGGAATGCAATGGACCCAGAATAGCCAAAATAATCTTGAAAAAGAACAAAATTTTGGAAGGAACTCACCCTCTCCAATTTCAAAACTAAATACAAAACTACAGTAATCAAGATAGTGTGGTATTGGCATAAACACAGGCTTACAGATCAATGAAGTATGACTGAAGTCCAGAAATAAAGGCTTACATTCATTGTGAATTTATTTTTGAGAAGGGTGCCAAGACCATTCAACGGGGCAAGATAGTCTCTTCAACAAATAATACTGGGACAACTAGATATCTACAAACATAAAGTTGAACCCGGCTTAGTGCCTGTGGCTCAAGCAGCTAAGGTGCCGACCACATACACCAGAGTTGGTGGGTTCAAATACAGCCTGAGCTTGCCAAACAGCAATGACAACTACAACCAAAAAATGACTGTGTGTTGTGGCAGGCACCTGTAGTCCCAGCTACCTGGAGGGCAGAGGCAGGAGAATCGTTTGAGCCCAGGAGATGAAGGTTGCTGTGAGTTGTGATGCCACAGCACTCCACCCAGGGTGACAGCTTAAGGCTCTGTCTCAAAAAAAAAAAAAGTTGAACCTACCTCACACCATATACAAATATTAACTCAAAATGGATCACACACAAATATGACAACTAAACCATAAAACTCATTAAAAGAAAAAAACAGGCATAAATTTGCCTGATCTTGGATTAGGTAATGATTTAAAATACAACTGCAAAAGCACAAGCAACAAAAGAAAATTCAGGTACAATGGACTTCATCAAAATTAAAAAAAAATTTTTTTTTTTTGAAGAACAGTGTTTATATTTCTTTTTTTACTTTTTTTGTTTCAAACTAGCCACCCTCAGCTTATGGGGTTGGTGCCCTACTCCTTGAGCCACAGCGCCACCCCAAAATTAAAACCTTGTATGCTCCAAAGGATATAATCAAGAAAGTAGAATGATAATCCACAGAATGGGAGAAAATACTTGGAAATCTGGCAAGAGTCTAGTGTCCAAAATATGTAAAGAACTATTACAACTTAACAATAAAAATACAACCCATGGGGCAGTGCCTGTGGCTCAAAGGACTAAGGCACCAGCCCCATATGCCAGAGGTGGTAGGTTCAAACCCAGCCCCAGCCAAAAACTACCAAAAAAATAAATAAATAAATAACCGATTTTAAAATTGGTTAAGGATCTGAATAGACATTTCTCTAACAAAGGTATAAAAATGGCCAAGAAGCATATGAAAAGCTGCTCAACATCCGCAGTCAGAGAAATGCAAATCAAAACCACAATTAGATATTACTTCACACCCACTAGGAAGGTTATAACCAAAAAGACTGGCAATAACAAGTATGGGTGAGGACACAGAAAAATTAGAATCCTCAGACATTGCTGGGACGCATGTAAAACAGTGCAGTGGCTTTGGAAAACAGTCTGGCATTCCTTAAAAGGTTAAACACAGAGTCACCATACACTAGCAATTTCACTCCAAGGTATATAATGGAGAAAATCAAAAACATACAGTGTATCCTCCTAACAACATGCACACAGATGTTTATAGATATAGTTGTAATAGCCAAAAACTAGAAACAACCCAAGTATCTATTAACTGATGAATGGATAAATAAAAGTAGGCTATCTTCCCCTTTATAATAATATATTTTCTCCAATTTTAATACCAGGTGTATCCAGATTAAGTAGAATGATTTTGAAGTATTTCTTCCTTTTCTATTGTCTATAATATTTGGCATGATCCATTTTTTGAAATTATCTTTTACTTTGATTTATAAATATTAGTTGTTTATTTTTTGAGACTTTGGGGAAAAAAATAAGAAGTTAACTGATGACTCCATACTGAACCTCAGAGTCAAAGCATTCTATAATAGACATACTCTTATTTGACAATGTGAATGTTACTTTCTTTGCATTATTATTATTATTGCTTAATATTTCGATGCAGCAATCGTCTGCTTTCTTTTCTGAATGTATTTATCTTCATTCATTCTTTACGAGGTTTTTGTTTCTAGTCCTTTTCTTAAACATTGTCATTGTTATTAAATTTTAAGCCTTTTTAATTTTGTGAAGGCAAAAAGTGGAAATCTAATAAACACATGTATATGTAAAAAAAAAAAAAAAAAAAAAGGTGGCACCTATGATTCAGTGGGTAGGGCGCTGGCCCCATATACAAAGGACGGTGGGTTCAAACCCAGCCCCAGCCAAACTGCAACAAAAAATAGCCAGGCGTTGTGGCAGGTGCCTGTAGTCCCAGCTACTCGGGGGCTGAGGCAAGAGAATCGCCTAAGCCCAGGAGTTGGGAGGTTGCTGTGAGCTGTGTGACGCCACAGCACTCTACCTAGGGCAACAAAGTGAGACTCTGTCTCTAAAAAAAAAAGATAAAAAAAAGACTATCTATATGAAATACTATTTTGCAATAAAATGGAATTATACCTGCAATATAGGTGAACCTTGAAAACATTACAATAAGGGGGAAAAGCCTGATGCAAAAGACCACATAGTGTATGATTCCATTTATATGTAATGTCCAGAATAACTAGATCCATAGAGACAGAAAGTAGATTAGTGATTTTCAAGGGCTGGGGTGAAATCAGAGGAAATGAGGACTAACTGCTGATAAATATAGATTTCTTTGGGGGGGGGGGGTGATGCAATATCTTAAAATTAATGTGGTAATGGCTGTACAACTCTGTGAATATGCTTATAACTACTGAATTGTACACTCTAGTAGATGAATTATATATAAGTGAATTATATTCCAATAAAGCTGTTATAAATTTTACAGAGTAAGACCTCTCTTTCCCTTGGACAGGAATACAAGTCACATTCTTACTCAGTTTCTCATAACTTCATATGTAAGTTTATAAGACAGTGAAGAAAGTCAATTTTCTCCCTCTGTATAAAGCTCACTGAACCAGTGGCTGATTCAGACACTTGACTAGAGAGGTGAAGGAGGTTATCCTGAGGTAGGGCTATTCCTTCATTTTATAGAAGAAACAAAGACAATTTACCACGGGCCATATACCTCAGTAGCTGCAAAGCCAAGACCAGAAACCAGGTCTGACAGGTGAGCTGAGGCTCTCTACATGAGCATCAACCCTCCACCTTTCCGCCAGGATCACAGGAACCCTGAAGCAGCTAAACACTACAGTTGCCTTCATGCCCTGGTCTCTGTAGAGGCCAAGATCCATCCATCCTTCACTTGGACAGATACATTCTCAAATTCTCTGTTGAAGGAGAACTACTGTTACATATTAGAGGTAGAAGAATGTACCTCGGGGACTACTTAACAACTCCCTCCTCTGGACAAAGAAGCAGAAACAGAGATCAAAGGACTCATTCAACAGGTCAAAGCCATTTGATGACAGAGCGAAAACCAGAGTCCAAGCCTCTCAATTTCCAGCTCAGTGCCCTTCCCCTTCCCAGGACGTCTTCAGCCTACACCTTCTCAACACCAGGATGAGCCACAAGGTGGATAAAGGGAAAGCGGCCTGCAGAGCACTTTCCGTTCAATCTTCATATAAGATAGTTATGGCAGCGCTACTAAAAACTACACATTCTTCCTCCCGCTCGCTTTTTAAAAGAAATCCCCTGGGTTCTGGATACCTCACCCCCTCGCCCCCAGTCCATGATGAGAATCACACATGTCTACTGCTCAGGATAGGGCAAAGTAAGGAACAAGGCGCTCAATCATGCCTAGTGGAATGAGACACTAGGAACAAGTTCTAGGGTTGGGAAGTAAGCAATGTTGTCTTTGCCTACCCGGAATCTATCCCTCCTTGTTTGGATCACAACTTTGGCTTTCCTTTCTCCATTTCAGTCCAGTGGGTTTGGATAGGTCTCACCACCAGGTTCTGGGACTCAAGCCTGGCCAACCCACCCTCCTAGCCATAATGACTGGTCCACAGATGGACTTAAGAATCAAGTCAGCCCAGTGAGAATCAGATCTGGGACTTGAGCTCCACTAGGAAAGAAAACTTTATTTCTGCTGTGACTGTCAGCCTAGAATTGTCATAACCTCCCATAAGAAGAAAGTCTGCTTGAGAATGAAGCCAAACTAAAGAAACCAGAGCCAAGAGATAAAAAAGAGAAGCCAAGTCTGATGCCCGTGATGGTGCCCCTGAACTCAGCCACACTAGAAGCCAGCTCAACTTCATTTTCTGAGTCAATGTGAGTTCAGTTTCCATCACCTGAACTGAAATAAGTCCTCACTTTTATCTTGGATGGTACACAAATTCTAGCATTACGGAAGTACCTGGAGCAACCCTCCTCTCTCCTGGCCCTTCATTAGACCTTTATGCGAGGTTAAAAGGCTCTAGCAGCTGATGCTGAAAGGATACCTTATGCCCCTAAAGGTTCTGACTCTATAAATCTAACAAAGACTACCTTGGTCCTTAAAGGCTATCTTTCAGCCTACAGCCTAACTCATTATTATCCACTTGCCTGGCTCCACTGCCAGCACTTATAGGCAGCTCCTTACACATGGAGGTTTACCACCCCTCACTACATCCTTCCATAGGGTAGGTCTGGTTCTGTGTGGCAAGGTCAAGTTCAGGTCAAGGTGGATTTGAGATCTCTATTCACAAGCATAAGCCATGGTCTGTGTTAAGTAAGTAAGGCTGGCCACGCTGCCAAGCAAGTTCATTAAAGGGTGGGTGACCCCTTGTGGACTGCCGGGGAGTTTGGCTTCTGGCCTTTGTGAACTTTGCACATTCCTCTCCGTCTCCTACTTGTTAGCTGCTCTGATAGGTATACGCTGGTTGTAGGGGGACAATAAACATGTTTAACTTTTCACCTCCCTGTGCCCAAGGAGAGACCAAAGCAGGCAACTGGTGGGATTTTCCTGGAGGTTACACCAAAGTATTTCCTTACACAGCTTCTGAAACCATTTGGATGAGGAGGGGCCCACGGCTGCCCATCTTTGTGGCGGTGACTGATCTGTAAAGCGAATTGCAGGTGTCAATATTGTCAAGACTGTAACTTGAGTGTTGAGATTCCTGGAAAAGGGCAAGAGCAGGGGCTCGCCCACCTTCCCGACTCGGGGAGGAGCTAAGAGGGGCCGACTTCCTGCAACAGCAGGGCCTTCCCCGGGCCGGGGGGCGGTGACGGCCACCGCCCCCTCGGGCCGAGCACGACAGTTTCACGAGCACGCTAGTGCAGGGATCGGGCCGGGGGCTGCCCCTGGATGCTCGTAGCCCCTCCGGAAGCCAACCGGATCTTGCACGGCTGCACGGCTCCCACCCCCTGCTCCCGATCGGGGGCTCCGGCAAGCGGCGGCCTTCGTCCGATTGACTGCGGCCGGCCCGCGCCTCCTCACCCGCTCACCCCTGACCTCCAGGGTGCAACACGCGCGGCCAGGCAGGCGGGCCACGCATTGCCCCGACGCCGGCTCCCGGGCAGAGTCCCCTCACCTTACTCGCGGTGGCTTTCTGGAGGCTGCCATTCGGCGGTGACGTGCCCCGGCCCACGTCAGGGGAGCGCAGACCAGCTGATCACCGCGAGGGCAGCAGGGAGGGCTGCGCGAGAGCCGGCAAGCGCGCGCCGGGCCAGCCACGCCCCCACCCCATGGCGCGCGTTCGCGCCGTGGCCCCGCCTATCTTCAGGCCCCGCCCTCCCGGGCTCGGGCCTCGGAGCCGCGGCGCCGGTCCTCCAGACTGGGGGCGGGGCCTGTGTTTCCACCCTCGCGAGGGTTGCTTCTTCCCCTGCAGTAAGCTGGGGACAGGACGCCGCCGTGCTATTGAGCGTTATCATTTTCGTTTATTTTTCTCGATATCCCCCAAAGAGAAAAAGAGAAAGCCTTTGCCGAATGAAAGCGTTGCTCTGCTGTCCCAGGGATTTTTCCTGCCTTTAGGAGAGCTGAGGGTAGAGGGGCTAATTCTGGAAGAACCTTGACGGGGTCTCTTAGTCTTTGCAGCAGGGTCTCACTTCCTGATGCTTTCAAGATGCCCTCAACGTTTTTCCCCCAGACATCTTCAAAATCCAGCTACCCTCCTCACTTGGATAGCTAATAGGCCCTTGACATTTAACATGTCCAAACAGAATTTCTGGCCCAAGGCATCAAAACTAAAACCCTTTCCACTCAACAGTCTTCTCTTTCTCCATCAGTGGCTACTCCATTCCTTCAGAATGATCCTCTTGGAAATCATCTCTGCTTCTTCTCTTTCACATCCCACATTCAGTCTGCCAGAAAATCATAGTGGCCTTGCCTCCAAAACAGATCCCTAATCCGTCCACCTCTCACCACCCTCACCCGTCACACCCCTGGTGTGCATCACTACCGCTCCCACTGTTGGGAGTAGTTGGGAGTACACTGACCTCCGGGCTACAACTTTGCACCTGCACGGGCTAAGCACAGCAGCCAGACCTCTCTGCACAGCACTTCATAGCAATTCCTCGTTTCACTCAGGGTAAAAGTTCTGCTTGATGGGCCCCAAACTCTTTTCCTACTGTCCTCACCTTGCTCACTCTACTCTGACTACACTGGCCTCTTTGCCCTCCTTGGAAAAGCTCTGCTTGTTCATGCCCCAGGGCCTTTGGACTTGCTCTTCCCCTAAATACAGAAATCCCCTTCCTCATTTTCCTTAACATCTTTGCTCTAGTGTCACCTCTACGAGGCCAACCTGAACTACCCAATTTAAAATTATAAATCCCTCAAACACTCCTAACCCTCCATACCCTGCTCTATTTTTTCCACAGCACTTAACCACCTTTTAACATGATAAAAAAGTATTTACTATGTGTATTTTACTGTGTCCTCTCTCCTACCACCCCCCAACCATCCACACACACAACCTAACCAGCAGTACAGGGATTGCTTCTGTTTTGTTTAATGATGAACAATATCTGGCATGTAGTAAGTTCTCATGATGTATTTTCTGCAAGAATGAATGTCCCCAGTGTGGGCGCTCGTCCAGAGCAGGGATGCTGGCTCTCTTGTTCATTGTTATGTCCGAAGTGCTTAGAACAACAGCTGGCACTAAATGAAAGTGACCACATTTTGAAAAGGTGATCTGCACCTCCTCCTGCATTGACCTTGATGCAGCCCTAACACACCTGTATCAAATAGGTTCTGCTGCGTGCAAGAACTCAAAGTTCTAGTTACTATCAATAGGCATTTAGACAAGCCAAATTAGACTGTGTAGGAGAAGCATGAAAGAACTAAAGATGTGGCACTTTGGAAAGCAGCAGACATCTGTTCTGTTTCCTTGAATTTATGGAGCCATAAAGAGAAAGATTGTAAAGTAAATGACTGGTTGCAAACTTCATCTGAATGATGGTGGGAAAGATCGAATTGCAAGAAAGAAAAAGAGATACCAGAGAGAGATAAGTGGGACCTAAAGGGAACAGGTATTTCATAATCACATTGCCTTACAGGAAAGGAATTGGCTCAGAATTTATGGCATCTGGCTTTAGGAAAGAGAAATACTTGGTGTTCCCTGAACCATATTTTGAATTGTTATTTGCAGCATGAAAAAGTGCCCTTCCCCCTTTTAAACTTCTTTTAAGAGAACCTCAGGAGAAGTTGAGGGTAGTTTTCACCACAAAACAAGAACACTAGGGGGTGGTGCCTGTGGCTCAAAGAGGTAGGGCGCCGGCTCCATATGCCAGAGGTGGCAGGTTCAAACCCAGCCCCAGACCCCAAAAAAATAAAAAGTAAGAACACTAGAGGTTATGTAGGTTATTCTCCTGGCCCTGAGCTCTCATGTCTTAGAAGAGGTACAACAATTACACTGACATTCACTGAGCACTATGTATGCACTGAGCACTAACTCATAACAACCCAATAGGTGAAGGTCTGTTACCCTCAATCTAGTCCTCAAGGAGCCAGGTTTTCAGAGGTTAAGTCCCTTGTATAAAGTCATCTCGCCAGTTAGTAGTAGGACTGTGATGTACATTCAGGCAGCAAGATAGATTGCTGTCCCACACACACTTCATCCCAAAGTTATATGGAAGGAACCCCAGGGATGGCCTCATCTATCCTTCTATCCCATGCAGCAGGAAGAGGCGCTAGTTTCAGCATTCAAACCAAGATTGGATGGGTCTCAGATGTAGCCAGAAACATTAAATGCATAGAAACATGGTGGAACTATGTTGGGTTCAGTTATGTCCCCCCTAAATTCATATGTTGAAGCCCTAACCCCTGATACCTCAGAATCTGGTTTTCTTTGGCAATAAAGTCATTGCCAGTGTAATTAATTAAAATGTCATGTTAGAGTCAGATGGATCCCTAATCTAATAAGACCAGTGTCTTTATTTAAAAAAAGAAATTTGGGCCCAGCATGCACACAGAGAAAATGCCATGTGAACGTGAAGGCAGAATCAGGGGCGGCACATCTACAAGCCAAGGAACACTAGAGATTGCCAACACACACCAAAATCTATGAGAGAGGCCTGGGACAGATTCTTCCTCCTCACAGCACCCAGAAGGAGGTATCTTCTTCATTCTGCCTTCATAGCCAACCCTGTGGATATCTTATCCTGGACTTTCAGCCTCCAGAACTATGAGACAATAAATTTCTGTTCTGAAACCACCCAGTTTGTGGAACTTTGTTATGAAAGCCCCAGAAAATTAAATAAAACAAGTTCTAAACATCTAAGTGTATGAATTGTGGACCTGCTACTTTGGCAACCCGACTTTCATTCATTCTTCTGATATCAATCTTTCCCAATAGGATTTATCCTTATCCTTCCTTCCTTCCCTCCCTTACTCATTCTCTATGTTATCCAAGTGAAACACTTAAATTCCAGGAGTGTATCATGTAACCTAGGCATGATCCACAGTGATAGAATCAGAGATTGATATGGAACCAGTGCAATGCAATCAGATGTTCATGGTAAGGGCTAAACCAAAGTCTTGTTCTCTGCCAGGCAAGACTCGGGATGGATATACTCTGAACTGCTGCCTCTACATGCAACAGTGAATGGCACCAGAAGACAGAGCTAACAGGGAAGAGAGAAATAGACCTGAATCTGCCACATCTTAAACCAGATGTCCCACTGGACTTCTCAGACATCAGCCAAAAAACTCCCTTCAGTCAATGTGATGTGAGTTTTCAGTCACTTTCAACCAAAAGACTCTTCAATAAATCATTTTATTAATCATCTGTATAATTGAACTTTATGTATAAGTAGACATAATTTTATTAATATAGAGAATCATGAACTAACAAATGAAAAAATTAGATTATAAACCAATATAACATCCCATTTTATAATAACTCTATATATATTGATAATAGACATAGATTTTTTTTAAGTAAAAGGAAAGTGATCCACAAAATCTCAGCAATGCTTAACTTGAGGTGGCAGAATTTACAATGATTTTAATTTTTCCCTGTTTCTTTTTTTTTTTTTAATTGTTTGTGATTAAAAAGAAACACAAGCTGGGCACAGTGGCTCACATCTGTAATCCCAGCACTCTGGGAGACCGAGGCAGGAGGATTGCCTGAGCTCACAGGTTCGAGACCAGCCTGAGCAAGAGCAAGACCCTGTCTGTCAACGTAGCTGGGCATTGTGGCAGGTGCCTGTAGTCCCAGGTCTTCAGGAGGCTGAGGCAAGAGAGTTGCTTGAGCCTAAGAGTCTAAGGCTGCTGTGAACTATGATGCCACAGCCCTCAACCAGGGGCAACAAAGTAAGACTCTGTCTCAAAAAATAAAATAAAATAAAATAAGAAACACAAAGTACTAATCACTTCTCTGACCTTTTCTCCTTGGAAGGCAGAATGAAGAAACATGTTCCAGTCTTCAAATCTGAGCAATGCAACAGTAGGAGCCCTCTAGCATTCAACTCGCTAACTGCTTTGATCATTTGACCACTTTTTGGAAGAAGGACAACATCCTTTTTGATAAACTCCCAGGTGAGAGGACTGAAAAATAGAAATCCCTGTAGAAGATCAAACAAAATGACAGCTTCAGAGGAGGGTTTTAACCTTTTCAAACATTTCAGTTTGTTCTAATAAAATTGATAGTTACAGGAACAGTGATGAGTGAGGCTCTCACAAATTGTTACAATACAGCCTTATTTTTTTGAGAAGTTAACTAAAAGATAGGCTTGTGGTTGCACCCTAGAAAGGAATGGGAGAAGAAAAGCCAACTTTCGGGATTGTAGAGTCTGCCAAAACAATGTACTGTGAATTAAGGGTGGGAGAATGCATTTGGCTCAGTTCAGAATCTACTCACTCTTTGTATTCAGTGAAAACTGAACTCAGACCTTTTGATATCTGAGTTCCATTTACTCTTGGCAAAGTTCAGTTCTCTGGTTCAAATAATAATAATAATAATAAAAGCCCTTTAAGAGGCCCAGAGGGTTTCTTGGACATCAAATGGTTCTTGCACAAACAACACATTGATGAGCTAAGTGTAAATAAATCAAAAACACACAGAGTAAGGGTTCTCTGAAACTCACATGCACCATCCCCCCCATGTGCTCAGGGAAGCACTATATCTGTCTCTTCCTGTAAGG